AGGCATTTCTGCACTGATTTCAACCTGTTCTGGTACATGGAATTTCAGAGAGGAGACTAGAAGGCAACTGTGCTCCCTTCCACTGGAAGCCTTCTTTGAGGAGTAAGAAAATTTCAGGGAAACCCCCTTTCTGTGCATGTGAGGGAAGGTGGAAAGAGGGACAGTCAGGGGGTTCTTGGTTGTAAGGCAGCTTCTCATAAAGGGGTCAAGTTAGTCTGTCAAAGAGCCATGTGTCTTGTCTGTAGCAAAGTTCTCATTTCTTCCTTCCCTCAGTCTGGATAGATTCTGAATCAGCATGGACTTCTTCCAGGACCATGTGTCCATGCCTGGCTCGTCTAGGGGCACTATCAGGACAGCTGGCACTTAATATAGAGTCAGTGTGTTTGCAGGTAACTTTATAGTTCAAAAAGCTTTGGACTTCCTCAAATTGGCATCTTTTAAATTCTTTCTTTCCTCTGCCTTCTCCTTCCCTGGCTGTTCGATCCGAGCCCTCACACTAGGCTAAAGGTGGTATCTGAGGTCTGCAGAAGTGGGTGAGCAGGTAGGGAGGGGGGAGAGTGGAAAACTATCAGAAACCTTATTGGGCATTAAATTTTCCCTGTCTGGCCCCCTCCTACCCCAAAAGGCCTACTGTTCTTCCGGGCCATGGTTTGAGCCTGCCGCTCTAGAATGTTCCACCGTGCAACTCTTTCCTGCCAAGGTCATGAAACATAGATTTCGTCTTTCCGGTCTTGCTCAAAGGTCTCCATTTCAGTGAAACACCAATCCAGATGCGACTTTGAAAAGTGGCATACGCTGTCCCCAGCCTTCGTTTAGGAATAACTTGTGCAAAAGCCACAAATGCTCCTCTTTACAAAGCCTCTACTGTGGTTTCTCACATCACAGCTAACGAATGCAGGAGTAAGAGAAAGTCTTAGCACTAAGTCAGCTTTGTTCACATTTCCGGTTTCAGAGGAGCTGGCTCTGAAGATGCAGTCAGTACCGTTGTTCCCCAGCTCTGTGAGGGACATGTCCAAGTTTCACAGCACTGGAAAAATTCTTACGGCTCCCAAGCTGAACGAACATAGATATTTGAGAGCAGATTTTGAGACAGGTGTTTTGCTTAAGAAGTTAGCGGCCTGCGCTTGTAATCCCAGCTCTTTGGAGGCTGTGGGGGAATTCCTGTGAAACCCAGGCTTGCTTGGACTGCATTGTAAGCTGCTATCTCCAAAAAGGGAAGGAGGAGGAAGACGTGAAGGACCTGATAACAGGAGCCCCAAACGCTAAGTGACAATGTGCAGTAGTTCTTAGGTAGAGGCACATTAGTGACAGTCTATGTTGGCACTTTGGGTTTCTTTGTGTTTTATTCTACTGAGTCAAATTCTCTGTGTACCTCGGAACGACCTTGAATTTGCTGCCCTCCTGCCTCAGCTTCCAGAGTATTGGGCTTTCTGGTATATACCACTACCTCTGGCTGGGACTCATATTTCATACACAGTGGTTATGTGGCAGAGCACCAAATTCCTAGGGAACATATCTTTAACAGAATTAATTCCTTTCGTCTCCCCCTCCCCAGTATGTTCCTCATTTTTCAGAGCTCATTCCTTGCCATATGTGATGGTATGTGGCTGTAATCCCGGCAGTGTGGGCATGGGAAGAAAAATCACAAGTTCAGGGCTAGCCTGGTGTACACAGCCATACTGGGCTACAGAATGAGACCTTGTCTCAATTCAAAAACAAACAAACAGAAAGAAAAAAAGAAACTGCCCCTTTCATACAGTACTCTAAAAGCAGGAAAGAGACCTCTACAAAAATATTTCTTTACCTCAGCTTATATAGTTAAGTATCTCAGAAGAATGCAGACGCTGGCCCCAGGAATCTAGGCCCAGATCTTTGTTAGGCCCCTTCCTTGCTCTGGAGAGAAAGGCTCTCCTTTCTTTTTCTCTCATAAAAGTCCTTCAGGATCCCCAGTTCCTAACATGAGATGTGTGGTAGAACTTTAATTTCGGTGACAAATATTAACTGGCACAGTGAGCTTAGAAGTCCGGTAGCAAAAATAAGCAATGCTGGCGAAGCAGGAAAACACTTTGGAGACTCCTCTCATCTCAGAGCATCTCGAAGGTTCTAGAAGATGTCCTTTTTCAAAATGTGTACGACCTTACCTGGATTCAGAAATGTGTGAGCTCCCAAAAATCTTTGGCTATCGCTGACAAATCATCCCTAATTAAGACAACGGTGTTTTTGAAAGGCATCTTTCTTAAAATCGCTTGGCCCCTTTTCCGCCTTAAACTTCTCCTCTCTGTGCCACATGTAGAAAAGCACAGAAGAAGGCGACTGTGAAATGCTAAGGGGTCCCCAGAATTCCCTGCTGTCCACAAAAGTCTCCTATAGGTCCGCTTGAGGATTTTCCCGGGCTCCACCCTCTGGTGGAGTCAGAGCAGACAGCAGCCACACTCCACCCCTTCCAGAGGAGCGGGCGGAGCTATAAGCTTCCTGGACATTTTTTTCCACTGGGTCGTTTCCCAGGAGGATTTACAAAGGATTGCCTCTCCTGCCCAGGCAGCCCCTAGGGCTCTTCCGAGTGTAAATCCTCCTGGAACCTTTCCAGTGCTTTCTTCCATCATGCATTGCCGACACAGAAGCCTCCCTGAAGGTTATATGAGCCGGAAGAATGAACTGAACTATCTCTTGTCTGGGGCAAAGGTCACGGACTGGAAGGAAGGATGGAAATGGGAAAGCTCCCCTCAGCAGCCCTGCTCATCTTTAGCAGACAGAATGCCGGAGCCTGATTTAAACCAACCCAGGAGAAGCCTGCTTTCATTGCAATGCAATTATAGATTTACTCAAAGGAAAAGGTACTGATCTTACTACATTCTGGGAACTACTCTAAGCAAGGAAGACAAATCTATGAACAAGACAGACGAAAGTCCTGCTTTTCCAGAGCTTACATTCTAGACCAGTGATTCTCAACCTTCCTAATGCTACAACCCTCTAATACATAGAGTTCCTTGTGCTGTGGTGACCCCCCCAGCCATAAAACTATTCCATTGCTACTTGATAACTGTAGTTTTGCTATTGTTATGAATCATAATGTATATATCTGATATGCAGGATATCTGATATGCTGTTCTAGAAGCTAGTTCTGGAGCAAGCATTAAGACCTATGAGATCTTGGAAACATTGCTTAACAGCTGCTAGGACCCAGATTCCTTATCTACCAGAGAGCTTTCAGCTTAAACAGATCAGTGCGTACAGAGGTGAGCTCTTTGAGGAGTACCACATATTACATAAAGGGACAATTTGATTGCCCACACTCACCGTCTATAAAGTAGTTGCTAGCCTCATCTACAAGTGAAGTTGCTCTAGGACGGTCTCACTTGGAAGTGCTCTCTAAGTTCACAGGAATAGGTGTCGTTGATGAAAACATAGATGGGTTAAGTGGATACAGCTACAGACATGTTTTACAGATAGATAATTTTGTGCAGATAATATATACTCATCGGGGGAAATTGTAGCAATTTGAGTTAAAGCAAAAGGACAACGACACTTTAAATTTATCACTATGGAGTCTTGCGGGCCTTTTCCACTTGTTGCGCTGCTCAGGCACACCCTGGGGTACAGAATCATCGAAGGATACACATGGTGCTTCTGCTTGAGAGTGGGCCCCCATTAAGCATCTTCCCCCCTGCCATTCCAGGAGCATTTTTTTTTCAGAAGACGGGCCAGTTTGTTCTATAGAAGTATTTTGTCTGTTTTCAAGGCTTCGCAGAACAAGTTACCATTAACTAGGGTCCCTAAAACGACAGAAGTGTTATGTAGCCTAGGGAACCAAAAGTCTAAACCCAGGGTGTCAGCAAGGTTACCCTGTTTCTGAAGACTGTAGGGGAGGGCCCTTCCTAGCCTCTTCTTTCTGGTTTCCTGAATATCCCTGGCTATTGTGATTGTGTGTGTGTGTATGCATGTGCACGGATGCACGTGCACCCATGTCTAACTTGTCCTCTCTATTGCTTATTGGCCTTTTAGCTAAGAGCAAGTGCAGATCTGCCTCTGTAATCAGGATAACAGCCACTGAATTACAGCCCATCCGCCCCTAGTACGACATCATCTCAATTTAAACTAGCAACATTTGCCAAGACTACTTCCCAATAAGATGACATAAACAGGTCCTGCGTGGATTTGAATGTCAGAGGACCGTCTTCAACCCCATGAAAGTGTCACCCCCACTACTTTTTGAGCCGTGCTTCCGTGGGGTTCGTTACCCCACCTCAAGAGTTAGCTAGGCAGGCATTAGCGACCTAGCAACTGTAAGGATCACTGGAAATTCCTGCTCTCCTCAGTCAGAAGATAGTTTGATATTCAGAACCAGGGCCATTAGGTTGGATGTGAATGTACTCCGGTGGGAACCTTCAAAAGCTGCCACTTAACCCATAGGGCATCGTGGACTGTGGGACAATGCAGCAGAGAGAGAGAAATTCTCACCTCCATTCATTCACAAAGGAACACCTGTCGCGCTACATCTCTGCAAGCTCCTGTTAAGTAACACTTTCCAACCATTGACTTGTGGACAAAAATTGGCGCGGATGCAAAGATGGAAATAGAAGGAAAACTCTGATACATTCTAACTACTACTCATAGCTACTTCCCATATTTTTACAAAAGAGGATTTATAAAAACACCTTATTTTTGCCATGGTATTTTCACTATCATGAACACCTCTAAGCTAGTTAGTAAACATACTTCGTTGACATAATACATCCAATGGATATTCTTACATCTTTTAATATAACGTTCCCCACCCTGGTATATCTTATGTTGAGAGATCACTTGCCATTATAATCTTACTATTCAGTTGATTGTCTCCACCTCCTTTTGCACCACCACCACCTCCTACCTAACTAGAAAAAAAAAATGTTTCCTGTCCCCAATGTTTCCTTAATCATCTGAAGACATGACTAGATGTCCTTTGCTTAGACTGCTGAGTCAGAAACACGGATGGACCAGCTCTGGTCGGTAGTAATGAAGTAGCTCATGCAGGAAGTGCTGAGAGATGGGCACAGTGCAAGCAGTGGGTGGGAGCTGCTGCCGCACACTGAAGCCCTGAGCCTTGAGACAGGCAGTCTGCTTTCTGAAAAACAACACGAGGCTGGAAAGCCAAGAGGCTCAGGCTCCTCTCAGCCATGTGACTCCTTTGCTGCCTGACTTGGTAAGTCATTCCCTTTCTCTGAACCTCAGTTTCCCCATTTATAAAGAAAACCATAAGGATGGTCATAAGGGACACTGGTGGCAGACCTAGAGGTCTCCTAAGTCAGGATCTCACTGGAAGATGGCCCTCTAGGACAAGGACAACTTGAGGCTGAGTTGGGAGCAGAGAACACATTACAGAAGCATTGCCCCCACCAGAAGTTGTCAGGAAAGGATCAGGAGAGAAAGCAGAGCTGAAGAGGGCAACCTCATGCATGGTAGCAGAAACTGAGAGAGGAGAAGAGAGAGCAGGAAAGGGGTTCTCTCTCACAAGTTAAATCAAGAAGGTAGCTTAAGGTAGTGGAATCTGAGGGTGGGCAGAGAAAAGCTATATGGGAGGATGTCTGGATACGGAAGTTATAGCCTAGGGGCATTTTTGAGTCCCAGAGGAAGATGCAACAGGCAGCCTGATCCTGATCCAGTGGGGGTTTAAAACTTTAAAGGCAGACTAAAACACCCAGGCAAGTCTGAAATGTTCATGTCGGGCTTACCTGTCAAGAAAATAGGTACCAATAATGTACCCCCCTCTGGAGGGTACTCAGTCCCTGACACACTTAACCATGGAACAAAAAGATTACTAAAAAATAAAATAAAAGTAAAAGTAAAAGCAGCCCATTATCCATGTTCTTGCTGTGAAGATCCCAGAGTAATGCTTTGGTCCCAAGAATACTGGACCAAGTGGACATAGATTTCCTGACCTCCAGCCTCTGGGTCCTTCCAAATGTTACCCATTCCCATGCGCCATACTCCCACTGCATTCCTCCCTAGCCCCGAAAACTTCCCAGAAGCTCTGGTGTTAATTCTTCTAGGGAACCTTGCCTGACCCTCTGCCTTCTCCCCCATCCCTTCTTTCATGTTCCTGAGCACACATACCCTCATCGGTAGCTGTCTAATGTGTGCTTACCCAGTGCACCGTGGTTAATTTCTCCATTGCTTTTCCTGTCTCCAGAGCTAGCAGTTCTTTCTTCCTTCACTTTGGATCTACAGACCTATCAGAGAGCCCAGTACTTGCCGAAGGCTCAGCAATGATTCAATGACAGCCTATCCATTATCGCTAGGTTCCCTGGATGGTCCTTCCGTGGGTAATATCAATGGGAGAATCTTTTGGAATCATTAAGAAAATGTCATGAGGGCAGTGTCTTTCTACTAGATACACTGGCAGTAGATACTATAACCCTATAGAAGGTATGATGACTTCTAAAAGCTCTGTTATGGCTAGAAATGTCTTCCAAGTTTCCCTTGGAGGAAGATATTCTTCTTGTATTTAAGGGGAGAAGTGTGTGTTGCAGTTGTTTAGAAGATAGACTTTTACCTTTAATACACACCTATGGAAGTTCCCCCTCAAAAAGACAGAGGGAGAGAAGGCACATTCTCCTTCAGCTTTAAGCCATCGACTGACTGTCCTAAGGACACCGTGTCTCACTAATGCTGTTTTCAGGATTTCCAAACAAGGCAGGGAGAGAACACTGATACACTATACTTTGCACACAATATAGGCCTTGGGTAATCTTCTCATTTGGTACTAAGACAGGGCTGGGGAGATGGCTCAGCAGTTAAGAGCTTTATTGCTCTTCCAAAAGACCGCATTCCAGTATCTATGTTGGGTGGCTCCCAGCCACCTATAACTCCGAATCTCTCTCTGGTCTCTTTGGGTAGTATTGCACCCACATATGCACATATCTACATGTAAACACACACACATATTTTTTAAAATAAAAATTATAAATCAGTTTTTAAAAATTTAAACAAAATACATTAAAAAAACCCCATGAAGCCACAAAATAGAAACTACAAACGAGAACTGAAATGAGATAAAAGTACAGACCTATAAGAGTGACTAAGATAAATAATGTAAATGATACCAAATGCTAGTGGGATAAGAAGCTGGTAAAACCCTGTCTGCCGACAGTAGTCTTTGGTTGTAGAAGACATAAAGGCAGTTGTCACTGCGAGACATGAAAGTGGCTGGAAGGATCCAAGGCAAAATGCTTCTGAAATAGTAATAGGACTAAAATCCGAATAATGACTACAATGAGGGTGTCTACTTTATGAAAATTCATTTGGTTTATTATTTGTGTCCTTTTCTGTACAAGAAGGTTCACTTTGATGTATAGGTTGTCAGAAATGACTTGTCACGAAGGTAAAATTGCTTGCTATTACAATAATTGAACGATCATAGTGAATATAGAATAAAAAGTAAAATTTGTTCCCCTTCATGCTTCTACTTTACTTCTCAGTAGTAGCCATTGTTTCATGTCTACGCATACCAGTACATATAGCCTGTTTTCTTACAAAAAAAATGTACATACTAGAGAGATCTGACAAGCAAGTCAGCTCAGAAGGTAAAGGTACTTGCTACCAAGCCTGAAGACCTCAGTGCTATCCACCAGAATCTACATGGTAGGACAGACCAATTCCTAAAAACTGTCCTTGACATTCATACTCTGGTCGGGCATGTACACACACACACACACACACACACACACACAAATAAATAAATAAATAAATGAATGCTATTTCTTTAATTTACCAAGAAGAAAGTTATTCTTACTGGGTGTCATGTCCTATGACTATAATCTCAGCACTCAGGATGAGGCAAAGTGATCGTAAGATAGAGGCCAGCCTGGACTGCATAGTGAGTCCCTGTCTAAGCCTACCCCCAAAATGAATGAAAGCTCACCTTGGAGACCTTGAATGAAGGGTATGGATATGTGTATTGGTGGTGGATATGGATATTGAGGATTCTGGTCCCGTTAAGGAAAATGAGTGGAAACTAAAGCCACCCCAACACTCTAAGTGCTTGCATTCCCAACTTCCTTTGACTATGCTGGAGGGGGTATCCCCAGTCCTTTCCTACACTCCTCCTTCTGGGCCGTTGGAATGTCAGAGTAAATAGAAGCAACTAGAATACTCTTAAGACTGGAAACAAGGACATGTTCCAGGTCATAAAAGCCAAGGGAAACAGATGAACATTCAGCTCTGAGATTTGTCAAGGAATGCTGCAAAGTCAGGTTGCAAACTTATGCCAGGTGTCCTTCCTCCAAGGAAGCCTTCCCTAATAGTCCTTCAGTTCCAACCTTCTAAGTAGGTTCTTATGCTTAACTTTCGTGTGGCTTCTGTAGTTGACATTGCCGGGGTTTGTGTCTGTCACAGTACCATTAGTTTTATGCTCACATATAGTTCTATTTTCAAGTTCATCTTGTTTTTGTATCCCCAGGTTGAGCTCGTCACTTAGCCCATGGTGTGCACTCAGTTGACATTGATTTAACCAATTGAACAGATTCAAGGGAATGACTTGAGAAATTGCTTCTTGCTGACATAGTCAGAAAATACAGCATCTTGGATGGAAACAACCAGAGATCACACAGTTGTAGCTTTGTGCTTTGGAGTCACATGGAGAATCTTACATGGCACAACCCAAATTCTTAAGGCCATAAGGAACTTTACATTGGGGGCTTAAAATGTGATATAGGGCTTTGAATAAAGTGCATATATAACACGAATTATTATGACTTGATCATATGACGAATTGATATGACTTGATCTAACTGATGGAAAGTAATTACTTTGAGTGTGGTGTGGTTTTGAGGTTACAGATTGATTGCCCATTGTTATGATACATATGAATTTTGGCCTGCTGGGCCCTATGAAAAATAACTGAAAAATATTTAAATGAGTACTTAAGTACAGGGCATTTGTTATGGCACAAACATACTATTATAAAAAAAGACGTAAAAGTAAAGATAATACACTTTCTGTCAAGGGGCCTCTGAAATTTGGCCTTCTTATGTTTGTTTGGTGCATGTGACAATCCTTATGAAGTGAGTAAAAATATTTTTTAATTAAATGCCTTTTTCATTTAAAAATACACACACTCATAAATATGTGTGTGTATATATATGTACATATATCTATAAAGGCTCATCAATAGAATAGCAGATAAATACATTATGGTCCACCACTCATATAAAGGGGACAGTTTTAGCCTTCCCAGTGCATGCTTCCAACAGTTTTGTCTGATGCTACAGCAGAATATTTGAAACTGAGTAATTTCTCAGAAAAGGGGAGAGGGACATTTTGGCTCTTAGTTTTGAATGTTGAGAAATCCAAGATTAAATAGCCACGGAAGGTAAGGACTTGTGCTCCTCAACTTTCTGTTGCTTTGAAAAAGCAACTGAGGCAAACACCTTAAAGAAAGAAAAGTTTATTTGGGCTCATGGTTTCGGAGGTTTCAGTTCACGGTTGATTGGCTGTATTGCTACAGACCTCTGATGAAGGAAAGCATCGTGTCCGGTTTCATGTGGTTCAGCAAAGATTACTCATGATGGGGGGCAAAAGGAGGTATAGCAAGGACCTGAAGACACAATAACAATTTTCCAAAGCATCCTCCAGTACATTACTTCCTCCAAGGAGGCCTACCACTTCAAGTTTTTGTGGCATTTTAACAGCACTATCCACTGGAGAGGAAGCCTTAAGAAAACAGCCTTTGAGGGACATTTGGATTACACAGAATATAAAGTAGAGTGGGGGCTCCTGTCATTGGCATGATAAAACACCCAATGAGGGATATGGGGAACAGAGTGAGGAAGAATGATCAATCAACACAAAATATGTAAGAAATGCCATAAAGAAACCTTTTACTTTGTGTTCCAATTAAAACAGTTCTTTTTTTTTAAAAAAAAAAGATCCAGACGATAGAAAGGCCCTGTACTGCTTAAGTCATGGTGGGGAGAAGGCTAAGTAGGAGAGGGAGAGAGAGAAAGAGAGAGAGAGAGAGAGAGAGAGAGAGAGAGAGAGAGAGAACATGAAGAGTGGTCTTACTTTATGAACCCAGTCTGGCAGTAACTAAGTCCTGTGATAAGACCTCACATGAGAAAGGCATTCAGAATATTGTATTGCCATAATCCACAAACATAATGTCTAGAATTTTGTTTTATGGTTTTGACTTAGTTCTTTGAGAAT